TTTGTCATTTGTACCACGAACTACGGGGTTTTGATCCTCCATTACACTTTTTGGGTACGTAGGCATGTGGCTCAGGAAGTCTTGTCAAACACAAAATTATTAAAAAAAATACTTATCTTCTCACCTCACCAATTTTTTTTGCAAACAACACCTTTTAAACCAAACGCTAGATTTTAAAGAGGTTCCTACAGAGTACTATAGACGTTTTAGGTGATAACACCTCATCTTTGCGTAACCAACCCCCGTACCATTGTCTTTATTTTTATTAGTGTTGTTTTAAAACTTCTTTAGGTTTTGTTCGCTCTTTTCCCTTTCTATTGGAAAAATAAAAGTGCGGTGACGACTCTTGTTTTGCGAGTTAAGTTAATCAATAACTTAATCTCAAATTTTTCCGCTATACCCGCATGCACCGGGTTTAACCTATTTAGGTGCCAGAGGTACCCGAGTCATCGGTGGTACAGGAGGCACCAGTGCCACTTCTGACAAATTATGCTTCTGGGCCAGTACGACCTCTGATTGCTGATGTTGTTAGGCTAGTGCCACATCCGGATGGTGAGACTGCTGAGGATGACGAGCCAGAGCCACCTCAAGCATTTGGAGGAGTCCATGTAGAGTTGTCACTATTACATTTATACCTGGACCATACTACCACACATATCTGGGACAGAGAGGTAAAATTAGTTGGATTCGTTCTTTTTAATTTATATTTATTAATACATTATAAGTTTTTTACATTGATTTATTTTTTTAGAGGACCGTGATCCGCTGAAGATTATTAACCACAAGCGAAAGATTACTGGCCTGCCTCAATCAAATGAGGAGTGGTTTTAGAAAGCTTGGTTCCTATTTGAGATGAAGGACTTATGCATGGCCGATTATATTACGGTCAACCATGGGATGCTTAATGCATTCGTGGAGAGATGCACACCGAACCTCATCATTTCATCTTCTACATGGTTAAATGTTTATCACACTCGACAATGTGTCGTGTTTGCTGCATCTTCCGATCAGGGGAAACTTTTAGATCATGGGAGGATTAACAAAGAAGAGGCACTCGAGTTGATGGTAGACTATATGGGAGTTGACCCAGAAGCTACGATGACGTAGATGGAGAAAACCAGATGGGTTGATGCTAGGTTTGAATTCCTGAAAAAGATATATACAAATGAGCTCCTCATAGTAGAGCAAGCTAGACGCGATGATGAGCATGTAGGGCTTTATGGAGCGTATGTTATAAGAGCATACATACTATATTTTGTTCGCACAATGATTTTTGTGGACAAGAGCACCACTTATATAGATCTCGTTTACCTACGGTACTTTGAGGACTTCGAGCGAATCTACGAGTACAACTGAGAGGCGGCTTTTTTGGTCTAACTGTACTCGAAGTTATCAAAGGGTTGTAGGTGGAAGACGAAGTAGGTCACAAGCAGCATCACACTACTTACGATAATATTTATTAGTCTTTTAAATTTTGTGTCATTTTAATTTCATCTTTACAACGTCATTACCGATGATTTGTGTGTTCCAAAACTTTTCAGGCTTGGATCCTCCAGCACTTCCCGCGCATCTTTGATTGGGCAGGTGTACCGACATACACTGAGGATATGCTATATGCTTCTTCATTTTCCCCGCTCAGAGGGAACCAAATGACATAATCGTTCAAAGTGTATTCTGATCGCTTGGTTGCCGAAGACATGCACTTTAACAACTATGTTAATCACCGTGAGATATGACAATTTGACGACATAGTGTTATAATCTGGATGGTTGACTTGCAGATCACGTCTTACTACTCCTCATCTGCCTGAGCGTGTGATGCAGCAGTTCAGTTACACTCAGATTATTCCCTAACACTTTGTTGTCTCTACTCCTCATGCTTTAACACGTAGAGAGATGAATGTCATGTTTGATGATTATGAGAGTCATCTGGTATCAGAGGAGGCACAGAGTACCATAGTTGAGAGTGATTGGAGCTACGTTAATGAGTACATCAGGTGGTTCTTCAAGGTGTCACATTCGTATATGGTGCAGGTTACTCCAGGAGACCCATCAAGGTCAGCTCATCAGGAAATACTAAAGGAGTAGACACAATTAGACGATGTTCATGATGTCTTGCCTAAATGTCGTTGCATAATGGAGATTGCGCAGACAGACATTGACAAATGTATCTTATCTGATGGGTCTGATGTGAGGCAGTCCTATATGCCATCATGATGGAGGCACGAGAGGGATTTATGTACTAGAGACAACGCTGGAGGATGGGGGTTGTGAAGTCCAATAAGCTCGATGAGTCCGGGGAGCTGTAGTCTGACATACACAGTAGTGCAGTAGTTTATAGTAGTTGTATTTTGGATTCATAATGGATTGTATTTTACTTTCACTTCACACTACTTTATCGAGTATTTCAACTTTATTTATATGTCCTTTTTGGACAGTTTGAATTTATATGTCATTTTTTACACGTCGATTGTTTGATTAAAATCTCATCGCATAACAGAGTACATAACGTTTATAAATCATCTTCATGTGAATAAAAATAACATACACTATTTTGATAGGGTACGAAGATGCATTTCTAAAAAATCTTAAACGAAGATGCATTTTTAAAAAAATCTTAAATAGAGATGCATCTTCGAAACAATAAATATGTAAAGTGCCTTTAGGGTGGGATGTTTGGTATATATTTTAAAATATTGTAGAAATGTATCTCCGAATCAGTTAACGTTTAAATTTTGGACAAAGTGTGTCCAAAAATGCATCTCCGAACTCTAAAAGACATTTTATATTTTTCATAAGGTGTTTTTCCACACTATAAGATGGGATAAGAAATTCCCTAAATTTTAAATGTGCAGATGGTTCTCAAAGCATCTAGTAGTGCAATTTCCAATCTATATTATTTAAGGAGTTTGTTTAGGAGACATGGTATATTCTATATTCACGAATTCTCCTATAGTATTGAGAGTTCAACGATTCTTCATGTTGAAGAGTTCAGAATCTCTAACCATTTTACATGAACTTTGTCACGAATTTTTCTCTGTTTTTTTAAAGAAAGTGATAATATCCATAAAAAAAACTCACACATAAGTACATAACCATAAATACCAGAATTTAAATCCTAATGAGACATTCAACCTAACAATATTGACTTTTTTCTATTGAACAAGAATTTGCGAAGAATTATTCTCAGCTATGCTAGCTGACATTTTAGAAATATAATTTTTGATATAGTTTATTTTTTCTTTTCTCATGTAACCAAAAAATATTCAGGAACACACTTTAATATATATTTTTGCTCTTGACGACTTCTTTAATGGGCTGGTGTATCTTAATGTTGATATATCTTTCAGGGAGGTGAAGATATAGAAGGAAATAGAAGGAAAGAAATAAAAATCAAACCCTTCATCCCTGTAAAACAAGTCTTCAAATTAATTACGATGAAAGAATTGTTTAGTTTGTACAGCAACAGGTAGAAATATGGTGGCTGCCTTGACTTCTTGTGACTTAGAGGATCAATGGGTAGCACCCTTATCAGTAATACCAGAGAAAGTTAAATCACATTTTGTGCATTTCAATGTTAAAACCATATTTTCCTTCAGCGCATGGGAGTTCAAATTAGCAATTAGCAATGAAGAGTCGAACTTGTCCAAATGAAGATGCCCACTCTTCAGCAATCATTGACGCCTTGCAGATTGAAAAAATATATTCTGCAGGCTATAGAACAGATTACTTTAATAGGCCTTCTATTGAAAACCAAAACTATCAATGGCTTGCTTACAGGTGAATTAACTGGAACAATAAAAAACGTAATAGCGGCAATTTCATTCTATACATCTAAAATGGGTTATTCTTTCCACCTTTATATGTGCTCCCCCATCACCGTGAAAATTCACAAATGCCCTTAGTGTCTGAATAAGAATCTCCGGACGCACCTATTTTAGCCATTTTCAGACGAAATGATGCTGCTCCGAAATTATTCAAGGGGTTTTCGGAGATGCATCTCCGAAAACAACCCCCCTTGCCATTAACATGCTTCCAATACCTTTTAAAGGATTTCACTGAACATTTTGAAAATGCATCTCCAAATACACTCAAATAATATACGGAGATGCATCTAAGGACCATATTTTGTTCAATATGGCGTGGATCCCAGAAAAAACGAAGTCTGGTGTGATTTTGGGTGCGTCCAAAAATACATCACCGGATGCTTGAAGGGCATTTTCGGATTTTCAGAGGGGTGAGATGCACATTTAAAGGTGTAATGAGCATTCCTCTAAAATACAGTCTCAATAATTTTAATGCAGAAAGCTCAATACCAATATATTTAAACTGAAGTGTTGTATTCTGTTATGTACCCGGAATAAAAACAGAAATATCTTTTCGATAGTAATACTCCATTTTGAATAATGCATGCAAGATAACTATGCATTCCCCTTTCCCTTTTCTAATTATCTCATACTCGATGGCATTATCTTTGTATGGATCTGCACACGTATGAACACTATATCTAACCATTAAATCAGAGGGCACAGGGTCGTGTTTGAGCAGTTATATTATATCATATAAAAGTGTGACCCATTTCATGAGATGGTCACTATGTGGGGTTTTTGTAGGGTAAGATGTACACAGCACTACCGTTAGCATCGAGAAAAGAAAGACTTGTTCCACTTATATAGTATATCATTTAAAAGGGTGACCCATTTCATGAGATGGCCACTATATGGAGTTTTTGTAGGGTAAGATGTACACAGCACTACCATTGGCATCGAGAAAGAAAGACAATTTCCACTTTTAACCTAGGACCACTAATGTCACAAGGCAACAATATTACTCGTTTAATCAAAATTTACATTGAATAAATACTTTCTTAATGCTACACGTATCATCTAACTAGAAATGTTAGATGTGATATGGTAATGATTTTTTTGATGCAATGATAAAATAAAATAAATTATAATTGAAATAAATTACCAAAGCATTGTATTCAGATGCCAATATACATCACGAATGTGTTCTCCGATCAACAGAAACTTCAATGAGCCTCTCTTCTTCATCAGGTTTAACTGTTAATGGCATATCTAAGAGCATATTTGGTGGGGCAAAATACATGTGTAAAGACATCATACAAATAATAATTCCCAGGAATAGCTGCAAAGAGAGAAAAAAAAAAAAAAGAAATTATTATCCAGTTATAGCCTGTCAACAATGACAAAGGTTTCAAACAATCATATCAGTATTCAATTTCAACTAAAATTTGAACGAAAAAAGAAACATGCGTAAAACATACTGTTAAAAGAAATAAGGTCACTGCATGAAATAAAAAAAAATCAGTTTTGATAAGAATAATCAAATCAAGCATTTCACAAAAATTTAAGAATGACAGATTCTAAACTACAGCAACAGCAAACAGCTTTCCTAATCCTGTAAAACATCATATGATTAGATCATCGTCATGAGGTGTCTTAAATTCCAAATTATGTGCAGTAAAATGATTTGACCTTAATCTTAGGACATAAGGGAGAATACAGAGTGGTCGCATACAAATTTTGGCCTTGCTTGGGCTGGAATTTACCTGCAATGTAGGTTTGAAACTGAAGAGGAATGTTGATAGAATCATTGTAAGCAGCATTGCCATGGATGTTGAATACACCTAAAGAAAGCAGATACAGCTAACAGTTATGGAGAAAAAAGAAACGAAAAAACATAAAAGGACCTTATACTATGATATGATGTTTTATACTAATTTCAGGGTTACAGAAAAGTTAACTGTTTACCTTAAAGAAAAAGATTATTCAGTGGAAAAGAAATTTCACATAATGAGTTCATCAAATATATGAAGTATGTAAATATACAAGAGGTAAAAAGCTTGCAACTTGCAAGCGGGTTGAAAGATATACCTTAACAATATTATCAGCATGTTTCATTAACCATGAAACCAAAAGACCGGTAGACCCTAGATTTAATACCACCAACCAAGTGGTGACGGTGTATCCATTAAAAATGCGATGCCACCAGGGCCCATTTTCAAAGCCACCTCTGAAATCATCCACAATAAGCTTTGCCAAATTGAAAATTGAACCAAACCTGGAGAAAGAAACCGATTTAATGTGTATTCTACTTAGCGGATGATTAAAAGGTATCTGAACATAATTAAGCAACACTTGTCACATATTCCCATTTTAGTTATACAGGAACGTGAATTTGGTATATGGGGTAGAAAACACAAATAAGTTACAACTCCCTACGAAAAAATAGTGCAGAAATATATGCCTCATGTTGCTGGATATTCAAACAATAATGGAAATTCTACATAGAACAATGAGAAACTAAAGAGTATAGGAATAAGAATCCTACATAGAACAATGTAAATTCAACAGTAGCATATGCTATGCTGCTTCTTACTCAACATGAAAACAGAGCATTCATTTCTTGATGCATGTAATAACTATGTTCATTTGATAGTTGAAAATGGGAGATAAAATGGATATGAAATAGCATTCGAAATAAATAGTTCAAAAGATTATCACAATGACAAATGTGTTCACATGGCTGTCTAGAAATTTGACATGATGGCAAATTCAAAAACAAACGAAAAACCTACGTGTACAACTGTATATTCTGCCAGTATAAGGTGTCGTTGTTTTTCTTCATCAAAAACTCGGTATAAATTCCAGCTAATGCTGAGAGACAAGCAGATAGAATTCCTAACATGTAACCCTGAATTGGTGCTGAGAATAGGGAGTCACAGGAAGCCTCTCCACAACCCTTGACCTATACAATAATCAGTATACACTCATTTCATTAGCATTTTTTATCATAGGGCTAATTATCCGAATATACATACCATAAAAGAACAACATCTTTGTATGAAATGATAGAGAGAAATATTTTCAAAATTAATGTAAATGTGATGCAGCCATTTAGGACATTTATTCTTAATCGGTGTACTTGGGCTTCAAATCCCATGTATTCTAACATGCAAGTTCAGTGCAACTCTTAGGTCCAATTCTCATGGTTATTTCAAGGAAATCTCAACTACTAAAATGCAAAAATATCAAAAGCCTTGTTGCATTTGTAAGACACTTTGTCACTCTGTTTTATTTTCATTCTCAATGGAAGCCAATATCTGGTTGACATTATTTAAAAACCTCCTAAATCTAAGAATGTGCTTCTCAAATTTTCATATTCGAAGGATCTTAGCAAGTTACGATTATCACTCTAGAACAAATCTTAAATTAACAACTTCTCAACGCAGTTAAGTATATTATGAGTTAATATCACCTCACCAACACATTTACAATTATAAAAAAGAACAAATATCGTTAGGAGGATGAATGTCAACTGTAAAAGGAGTGCATATAAAGTGCCTTCCAGAAATCATTTTCGCTGAATGAAAACAAGACTATAAAATGCGAGACTTATCGAATGTACTGTACTCGGATCTACTGTATCAGAGCTATACAAACCTGTGCAAACATAGAATTTTTGAATTCATGATACAAAGCTAATACACAATACACAATGCACAATGCTGAGATATCTTCTTATAAAATACCCTAAAAGCCAGATAAATTAATTTGTAAAGCCGCAAAAATGTGGCACCTGACTTGTGGTTGTTCCAACGGCCAACAGCATAATGGCCATCCACTGCAAGTTGGAAAGCTTCCTCCCTAAGAAAAGCCTAGAAATAACCGTCTAACATCAGCTCGAACTAATTAAGAAAGAAAAAACAACACAATAACCGAGATTCAAGTTGAGTCTGAATTCACTAAAAAACAATGCACCTGAATAATATTCCAGTGGTAACAATCTTCAAATTACCCATTATCTGATAAGTGGAAGTGTCCACAAATGTGAGAGTAGCAAACTGAACATTATTATGAATGAGATATATAACAGAAGGAATCGGATACAAAGACACTGTTTTCCACTCCGTTGTCATCCTTGGAAGAGGCGATTTTTGACATTCCTTCCAAAGTAACAAACTTGACACAGCAAGCTGAGAAAAAATGAAATGAAATCACCAAAAAGTAAAATCAAAAGTAACTAGTTAACTACAAAATGAAGTTGATATACCTTAAAAACCTCAGCGAGAAATGGCACAGTTGCATAATCATACTTATATGTTCCATTAGTTTGCGATAGGGTTGTTAGTATTCCCTGCAATGTAAAATGATGAAAATGAAATCAAAATCGACAAATTAAGAAATGAAATTGATGAAATTAGGGTTTACGTGATGATTTATGGAAAGTGAGTGTGACCTGAGAACTGGTGAGAACGGTGAGAAGCGTAGCGACTAAGTACCACTGCATCTTCTTCTACTTCGCTAGATCCACACTCGCTGATTACACATGCTCAGTAAGGAAGACGAGTCTAAACGCGCCGTTTTACTGCCAGCTTGGATGTGTAAATTTTTTAACGGTTTTGCCACGTGATTTAACAATCTTGAGTTATATATATATATATATATATATATATATATATATATATATATATATATATATATATATATATATATATATATATATATATATATATATATATATATATATATATATATATATATATATATATATATATATATATATATATATATATATATATATATATATATATATATATATATATATATATATATATATATATATATATATATATATATATATATATATATATATATATATATATATATATATATATATATATATATATATATATATATATATATATATATATATATATATATATATATATATATATATATATATATATATATATATATATATATATATATATATATATATATATATATATATATATTATAAGAAAATACATGGATTGATTTGTATACTTTTTTATTAAAGTCTAAATCGAACTTACTGAAAAACAACATATTGATTCGGGTTGGATTGATAGAATATACTAAAAATAAATGTGTAAAAGTATTTTTAAAAAATAACTTTTATATCAATTAATTTTTTATAATATTATAAAATTCTTAACTTTTTTTATTTATTTATCTATGTTGTGAACCGATCAAATAACATTTCATTTTTTTTAAGTTGAGTATTTTTTATTAGTTTTCGTGATAATGATCATATGAATTATGCAAATTAATTATGATTAGTTCGGGTAGACGGACTCGCAGGTAGAATTTTAGAAATTCGATACCCAAACCAATAAATATCGGATTTTATTGGTTTGGTTCGATTTTTGTCCAAACTAAAAAAAATGTCTGACTCAAACACCTTGGTTTGGTTTGGATTCCAGTTTGCTTCGGATTTGGCCGAACCAATGAACACCCATATGCTTCACAATACGCACCCTTTTAAATTCTTTTTATTCCAACATCTTTTCATACTCTCACTCTCTGCAGATATGAGTCTTCCTCTTCTTCAAACTTCTCTCTTCCTATTTTTTTTCATGGTTTTCTTATGCTCTTTTAATTCTTTCTTCCAGCTTGGTTTACACAAATTATTTAGGTGTGATGTTGTTATCACGGTGGTAGATATATGGCGACGACAACGTGTTTTTGTCCGTGAGTGTGGTGGTGGTCAAAATCGAAATGATTAATGTGTTTTACCGACGATGACGGTGACCTGACTTAAATGTTTTACTACTCCATGGTTAATGGTTTGTTGTTAGAATATTTATTTAAATCGAATGGACCGAGGTTGGAATCGTGAACGAATCACTTTCTTTATAGTATTTCAAGACCTCGATTCTACGTAGGAATACCCAAAATAATTCGGCATATACTCAAGTTTGCACAAGACCGATGAAAACTCGAATGTAGAGAAAAATATCGGGAATTTTAGTGAAGAAGATGTATATTTTTGTTACGTTTTTCTGAATCAGGAATGAAGTATTTATATGTCATATTGGTGTTGTTTCACAAGGTTGTGACCCTTGGTGAAACAATTTCCTTTTACCAAGAGTTGCAAGTTTTTGTCAAAGGTCACATAGTCTTATCAAAAGATGCATTGTTTCGCCTACAACAACATTCTTCAAGAATTGCATACTTTCATTCTGCAACACTTCACGAAGTGTTGCCTATTTATGAATTTAAACCTACTAGAACTCGTCACAAGTGCTACTTATTTCTGAATTCAAAATTAGTATTCACTTGCATATTTTCTTGTCATTTTGGAACACACTCAAGATTATTAATTCTTAAAAAGTTACAACAATCCCTCACTTGTTCTAATAATAACAAGACCAATTCCAAAAAAGAAGATAAAAAGAATGTTAATGTAGTTAAGTATCTTTCGATTTGAACTTAACCTTAGTAAGGATAATGCAAAATTTAATTGGAATATTAGGTAACTATGTTTTGAACCATTATCCCTTGTGATTATACCGACGTTACCTTATACACATTCTTTAGTGGTTCTTCGCCTACATTTGTTGCCTAACACTATTTATGGCCACATGGTTTTCTTGTTTTTGTGAATTTTTCATGAGAGAAACTCCAACTCTCACTTTGAGACGACACCATCTTGAAATTCATATAGGTAAAGTTCATTTTGTATATATTTCTTGAGATACATATCCTCGATATAGAACTTCATTAAGAGTTTGAAAAAAAACTTCACCCTCAATGTGTAATAGTCAATATTGTCACAAAAGGTTGCACAAAAATCCAAATCAACGATTTTTTGTTATCCATTGAATCTTAGGTTAAGGTTTATTAACTTCATATTGGTTGCTACCGTTGTTGGAACCCTTATTCAAGGAGTTTCAATCACATACCTCTTGAGATAGTATGTACTAAATCTCTGCCCAGTGGTTCAGTAAATGGATTAAGCATGTTATAGCTTGATCTTATATATGTGACTGAAATGATTACATCTTTAATTAATTTTCTCACAAAAGAATGTCTAGGTCCTACTTGCATAAACTTTCTGTTATACACTTTTTGTATGCTCTAGGTAAAGTGGCTTGACTACCGCAATGTATCAACACCTTTGGACCATTACCTTTAGCCAATGGAACTTCCAATAGAAGGTCCCTCAACCATTTAGCTTCTTCACCAACGAAAGTAAGAGCCTCAAACTCTGATTCTATGGTTGAGGGATTGGTCCACATTTATTTCTTGCTCTTCCAAAAAATTGCACCCCATGGTAGTGTAAATATCCATCCAAATCCAGATTTATGATATTCAACACTCGATATCCAATTCCCATCATATACTTCTAATATGGTAGGAATTCTACCATAATGAAGACCAAGATTTTTGGTTTTCATAAGATAGCCGAAAATCCTAATGACGGTCTTCCAATGCTCACCATTTGAATTTCTAGTAAAATATACTCTTTTTACTAATTGTAAATGATATGTCGGTTTTAGTACATTGCATACATACACTTGCATATTCCAACTGAGTCACAACTCTTCCATCATTCTTTTGAAGTTTGACACTAGAATTAAATAAAGTGGTCACTTCCTTAAAACGTAAGTGTTTGAAATTACCAAACACTTTCTCAATATAGCGTGTTTTACTAAGTTCATAACCCCCATTATTTCTCTTTATTTTGATCCTCAAAAGTGTGTCAACAAGTCCAAGATCATTCATCTTGAATATGGAAGTTAGAAACCTCTTTGTTTTTAAAATTCTATTCATTTCATTGTTAATGATCAATCATATAATCAACATGGAGACAAATGAACATTACAATATTCTCACACAACTTTGTGTACAAACTCTTGTAATAAGAATTAGATGAAGAAGATTTTTAGATAATCATGCATGATAATGTAAGAAGGTTTTTAGATGAAGTAAGAGATGAAATTCAGAGCAATTTAAAATAATATGGTATGAATTGCAATTAGTACCTTAGTTATGTTCACTTGTCTAAAAAATTCACTTGAATTTCTATGTTCAACCTTCTTGATCAACTTCATCATTGATGTGCATGAGATTTTTGAACCTTTTCTTCTTTGATAGTTTTTTCCTTCATCAAAATTGAACTAGATATAAGATATATTCTCTAAATCTTCCCCTTTTTATGATGACAAACTCTTTGACTTTGAAATTTGATAATGATTGGAAGTCTTTCCCTAAGTTGTTTGTCTTCCCCTTAATTTATAAATCTTTTGTTCATTACCAGGAAGCACATAACCTTCTGGTTACCCCATACAAATCTCCTCATCGAGTCTCTATCTAGTAATGTTATTTTGACATCCATTTGATGAACTATAAGGCCATGCAAAGAAACTAGTGCAAGCAATACTCTAATTGTCCTCGTCCTTGCTACTAGTGCATATGTATCAAAATAATCAACACCTTCCTTTTTTCTAAAAACTTTTGGTTACTAATATATACATGTAGTTGTTTGGTGTACCATCATTATGTTACTTCCTTCTAAACACCACTTGTATCCAATGGGTCTTGATCTTTTAGTTAGATTGACAAGTTCCCAAATGTAGTTTGACATTATTGAATCAATTTCATCTTGGATAACATCCTTCTAAAATGAGGAGTTCCTAGAAGCCACTACTTCCTTGAATAAACCAACAACTATAGTGGACTTTTAATCAAACCAATTCAAAGGACTTTTCTCCAACAAATAAAAAATATACCACTTTCTATTTGCAAATACTTTAAGAAAGTACACACATTTTTCTTACAAATTAAGTCACCACACACTTGGTGATCAATTACAATACTTGAACAAATTTGAATATATGAAGTTGTTCTTGAATCAATTTCAATAGAAAATTGATCTTCTCTTTTAATTTACAATTCAATAATATAGGAACCTTAACTACTCAAAAATATTATGAAACTTTTATGAATGATTTTAAAGTTATGCACAAAGTTTCAAATTTTTTTGAAAAAGAATGAACAATTAGAATATTATTTGAATTGATATAAAAAATTAATAATGAAAGAGGTAATTTGAAAACTAATGTATTTTACCTTAAATACATCCTAAGAAACTTCTAGGAATTCATGCAAAAATTTGAGACATTCTCATGAAGGTTTGCAATAGTTTAGAATGACGATAGTTCATGAAAAGACATAATTTTGAATTCTGTTCAGGAATTGTTAAATTATTAAATTGTTTAATTGTAAATCTGACTTAACAAGTGCATAACGAATTTTGAATTCAAACGATTTTTTAAATTTCAAATAGCAACAAGTTTTGTTAAGTTGGTTAACTAGACCTGATATAAAAAGTGCAACGGATCTGACTTAAAAAGTACTAACAGTTTTTTAAAAATATTTTTTTTTAATGTATTTTGTTCTTCTTCCTCTTGAATTTATTCTTCTTTTGAAGTGTAGGATATTCATTTTTAACATGTCATA